GTCGCTGGTTGTAGAAAGACCTGTGAGGAATCACGGCACCCCATACGATGAAGAAACCAGGCTGAGATCTTGCTTGTATGCGATGCTACCAGTAGCGGGGTTGTCGAGGCTTGTTAGGGGGCTTGTGGTTTCCTGCTGGATCTCGAGAACCAGGATAAAACGCGATGCCTCGCGGCATGAGGAAAGCAGCGAGACATATTAGGCGGTTGAGGAAAGCTAGGGAAATTGAGAAATCTGGCTCGGAATTGGCCCGCAACAGACCAACTCGTGCAAGGCTTCATTTGCCTACGGCACCAAATCGCCAGCTTAACGACGTGCCTGTGTGAAGAGATGGTCTGGAAATGATTGGAAGCATGCTGCCCATTAGCACCAAGACCGGATTCCTAGCACTTGACAACTTACTTAGCAATACACACAATGAGTGCTAATATATAAAATACTAAAGTATCGAGTTTAGGTAGGCGAAGGGTCTTATGCAGAACAACGTCCAGCGCCGATCACCATGCGGCGTAAAGCCGTTCACTGTTGTGTTTTTGAACGAAAGCACATGAGTTTGATGCTTCTGGTGCTTCTGGCACTGTTGCTCGTATGTCTGCGACGATTGTACACTTTGCACGTCTTTCGTCTTTCGAGCATGACTGCAGAAACAAGGAATCAGTTCAAGACATGTCACACGCCAGCAGGCCTAAGCGAGGCATGACACGCCGTGGAATGCAGAATTTAGCAGAATCCTATAATACCCCTATGATAAACCAAGCATTAATATTTATAACCGTATGCAAAAATGAAAAATAATATAGATAAGAGAAGTAAAAATAAAGATTGCGATGCTAAAAAAAGTAGTAAACCCAATCATGAGAATAGTAATATTAATGGAAGAAATGAACAAGCTTGAAATATCAATAATAGTTGATGATCTATTAATATACAGAATAGAATGTTTCTGCTAGTTATCAGCGATAGTATTGACAATGATAATACCTTAGTGAATCATATCAAGGAGGAATCTTATCCACCAGCATCCTTCTTGTTGTCCTTGTCAGCATTTGCAGGAGCGATCATGTTCGCTAGAACCGCAAGAGTGATCGTAGGCACGCCCCCACACATGACAGGCAGAGGTATCAGCATCTTCCGTGCGCTTGAGAGGATTTCTACTTGTAGCTACTAGTACCGAACTCAAAGCTCTGTTAGCTTGTAGCCTCTGCCTTTGAGCTCGAAGTCTCCGCAGTTGGATGCGTTTCGAAATAGAGATTCCGACGAAACGGGTTGGGGGCATCAGGGTCTAAGAGCCTCTCTGCCTACGTGCCCGACTGCACTGGATTACGACTCAAAGCCCGCCCTGACTTATAAGATTTTGAATTTTGACTTTCAGGCCTATGTATCAGGCAGGGTGCTCTTCCCAGTCGCCAAGGCACCAACGCTGCTGCTCTTCACATCGCACCGGTGCACGCGCCGAGGCATCGCGCTTGCATCGGCAGGCTCCTTGGGTTTGCAGGTCAAGGGCTTGCGCAGCTCAGGAGCCCTAGACATAGACTTCGTCTCAATGTCGAGTGTTGAGCATCGGGGCAGTTGCACGTCCAGCAACGTACTTTCATTGCTTACGCGGCGTTTTGCAATAGTGCACCGCAGGCCAGGTCGCGCTTCTTTTCAAACAATCGAGTGTCATGAGGCAGCTCCGCTCCGGTCGCTACGATGTAGCCGACAAGGGTCTTTGCCCTTGATTGCACGAATTGCAACAATGCCGGAGACTCGGAGTCACTGCTGCTGGCGGTGTCCTCGACATCTTCAACTGCCGACATACGGGGCGATGACAAAGGCGACAACTGGTTGTTGCCGTCGGAAGCTTTAAGAGGGTCTTCCTCGCCACTGGTCAGCACTAACAGCCCCACGATCATGCCCGCGATGCATGAGAAGTACCCGGCGAGTTTCCACCAGGGCTCCCCATCCATCTCCTCTAACACGATCACGGCCGACAAACTGTTTAACAGGATGCTCGAGCCTTGGAAGACTGTGACCATGAAAAGAGCCTCATACTGGCGCATGCCTCTTGCCATGTATGGCACGCTTGTAATGGCGAAGAAGAGGGCTCCAGCAGCAATTGCCCACGGGAGCCAGTTGCTCCAAGTTTGGGCACAGGTGCCCGTGAAACACTCTTTCGCAAAGACTGCACCCAAACCTGAACTGCTGTGGAGGCTTTCTCTCTCTTCCCTTCATCACTCTCCCTTTATCCCATGGCCCGCTACGAGCTCTGCTGGCTTAACTTGGCTCCAAGGCGCGGGTGCACCACATGTTGCCTGCGAGCGATCCAGAGATCGCTCCAAGGGAGAAGCCCCGCACTGCGGAGCCGTCCGGAAAGTGTGCAAGCGCTCGCACATTTCCAACTAGCCACAATGTCAAAATCATGAAGTACGCGAGACTGCGCCATCGAAGTAAGGCATCCTGACTTCGCTCCAGTGTCCATTGCTCCGTGTCCGTGTCTTTGAAGAACACGGACAGAGTTGCACTCACGAACACGATTAGGATGCCGATGTAACGACAGCGCGTCAGCTGTTCGCCGAGTGTGAGAGGCGCGATCCTGACCCATGCTTTTTTGAGGAACTTGCGCAAAGGAGTACGGTTCGGTTGTCGCTCCGGGACTGAGTTTCGAAACATACTGTGGCAAGATGAGGGAAGGGCAGCTACAGTTATGGAGATTGGCCAAGCGGCATCGCGCTGATGATGATGTTCAAGCCGGCGAACGGTGCAATGACCGAGGCTGGCGCAAAGGCATAGCCCGATACATCAAGAACCGGTCCGAGGACCATGTTCAGTAACATGCCGGCAGCGAAGCAGATTCTGCCTGATCGCAAGAAGATACGCGGCCTAACACACAGTCCACATGAACTGATTGAGAACCCCTTGCCCTAACGCCCTGATTTTGCCATGCATGCTAG